ATAGTATTCTTGACAAAGAATAGTTACATATCATTTACATATTATCAATACTATTGTATATAAATATGTAATCGGTCAAAGTTAAATATCATTGACAAGAGATTAATTTGTCTAGTATTAATGGGATGGATGTAGTATATAAAAACTTGCACTTTTAGGGAAAACAATCGCCATGGGCTATATGCGGCCACCACTACGATGTAGCCAGTAACAACACTACGGCTGGACCTTGCTAGAACTCCAGTCTCCGTCGACTCCACAAGGAAACCGCTATAAAGCTTGTAAGAGGGATTGGTAACAATGGCGGATTTGTGATTTCAATTTTGGGTGTTTAATGTTGTTTTTATAACTACAAATTTAAAGAACCATAGATAATTATACTAAATTACACCTATATACCTACATGTTTTTTAAAAAATTGGGTGTTCATATACTAAATTACCCCTTTGAACAATAGTGGCTCCGCCACTGATTGGTAAACCTTAATCCCTAATACTAAACCAAACCGTAAAAACTAATTGTAACTCCTATTTGAGAATTTAAGACACACTCCGTCTATGTTTGGTACAACGAGCTGAAACTAAAGACTAATGTCTGAATTAGGAGTTATTGTCTGAACAAGAGATTATGGTCTGAAGCTGAACTTTGAATTGTTGAACCTGAATCGCTAGCTGAATGAAAACTGTCGCCAACAACCAGGGATGAACATAATAAAGTTTACAAATCATTTTCATACCTTACCCAATTCTGAGGATTGACTAAGTGAAGAAAAATTTGCACGAAAGGAATGAGTGCAGTGGAGAAACCAAGATAGGAATTATGAGATGAAAGGTTGACTGGTACAATGAAGAAACAAAATAAGAACGTGCAAGGTTAATTTCGGGGCTGAACACAGATGTTATGTTTGCTAACGTTTCAGTTCAGCTTTCTTTTGTCAACTTCAGGTGCTTGTAGCCTTTCATTCAAACACCACAAATTTTATAATTATAGATTGAATTTATAAAAATTCAAGCCATTATGAGCAGAAATGGCTTGACTAACATAGCCTTCGTATACTCTAACTTTAGAATTTCGACAGTGTTTTTCCATAAATATTACTCCGTACTTCGAATAAACTAAATTCAAAAGACTAAAATATATAAAAAATTTCAAAAAAGTGACATATTCTATGACTATAGTTCTCAGTGACTCATGATTTACAAGTGACTTATTACTTTGAAATTAATACACCATAATGACTCTTGTCCAATTAGTCATGGGTAGTGATTAGTGAATAGTCATATTTTTGTTCAAAAACATAACTAGTCATAAACTTGGTAGTTCTTTCTTAAAAGACATCTTTAATTGATACTTTCTCAATTATTTTGTAGTTACAATAGTTTATTTTAACGTTTAACAACCACAATTTTGACATAATGTTAGCCCAAAATATATTATGTACACTGTTTTATTGTTTTATGATTTGTCGTTGTGGGACAGACAAATACTTTAACACATACTGATATTTGTAATTCGTTAATTCGTTATAATAATATTTTTTTGTTTCGGCAAGCTTAAATCATATCATTACTCCAATAAGTCGTTAGCCAATCGTGTATTTTTTTTTGAGGAGGCGAATCGTGTAATTGAAAAATAACATATTTTAAAATGATACACCGTATGAATTAATCAATATTAAAAACATAAATAAAAATTTAAAATTATGTCCTAAGGTAAAGACTTTTTTCCCGAAATAATGTTAATTAAATAAATAATTCCCAAAATACTGTTGGCTTAAAAATAATTCCCAAAATACTGCTAGGTAAACCGTTGTTAAGGAAAGCCGCCACTTAAAGTGGCGGCTCTTCTCCTACAGTACAAAAGCCGCCACTCCAAGTGGCGACTTTTTTCTTACAACACATTTTGTACATATATAAAACGCAGTATGTACGTTTCAAGATTTTTTTAAACTATCTTCCCGGTTGAATTTTGAGCTGAAATTTGGTATGACTAAAGTAGAGTTGATGAGGAACATGCTCAAAAAATTTCATCAAACAATTTCACCGGGAAGACCCTCTGATGGTGTTGTCCGCACGGGGGTTCCGGTCAGGACGTCGTGACAAGGACACATTTTTATGAAATTTGAGGTGCTTCCGAGTCGAATTTTTTGATAAAATTTGGTGATCGTGTTCTTCCAAAAGTGTAGGTTATGTTCACCGAATTTCAGATTAAAATTAAATCAAGAAATTAGTTAAATAATTTATTGAAAAAACTGCATTTTTAGGCCTAAAAAATTATGCAATTTTTAAAAAAATTATTTAACTAACTTCCCAATTGAATTTTAATCTAAAATTTGGTTGACATAATGTAACACCCATACTTTTTATATACGTAATATTTTTTTTATGTGTTTAATTCATCAATAGGATCATGTTTTGATTCATGGTTTGAGTGCTATACATGTGAAGAATAAGGATATTATGTGATTATGAACTTTGTGATAATTATATTTGAACTTACATGCTTGTATTATGTTCGAACGTGACAGGCGACGGTATCCGATGAGCAACACAATAATCATTTTTATTCCGGATGAAATGGTAGTCATGTTAGATAGTATTTGGGTGTTGAAATGTAGTTTAAAATGTCATCGGGGGTCTAGGATGTGAACGGCAACAATCGGGGTCGGTTTTGGGCGAAAAAAGAGCGTTTTCGGGCGTTTCCGGCACCCGATTGACCTCAAACCGGCGCCGGTCCAAATCAGAAAGTTGCAGGAGGTTAAATTAGAGCATAACCGGCGCCGGTCATGGCCAAACCGGCGCCGGTCCGGTCGGTTTTCAGCATGTCGGTCAAAAATTGTTTTTAAGCTCAAAACACCCCCTTTCGGCCCCAAAATCAATCCAAGCTCGTCTCTCTCCCTAAAAATCGATCCTAAACCATTCCTAAGGTGATTCAATCTCTAAACAAACATATCCTTCATCAAAGATTATCACTTGGTAAGATTTACACTTTATGAGAAGTATTTCTTTCATATTTTGAGTTAGGGTTCTGATTTTTGGGGATTTTGCTAGGGTTGAATGATTTTGAATTGATTCTTTATAAATCAATGGATTTCTTGATAAATAGGTTGTCATGGAGTTGTTGTAAATCCTTGATTTAATCACTTCAATTAGTTCTTGAGTATTTAGCTACCCCAAAGTTTTGACCTATCTAATGGAAGTATTTGAGAGGTGTCTTAAGTTTAGGGGCTGATTCTAAATAAATATATGGAGCCCTTGATATTATACTAATTAGTTAGTTGTTTTTAACTTTTGGTTGTGAGTATTAATCGGGGTTAGGTTATCTAGTTACCCCCGAAGCTATGCCCGACTTGTTGTAGGAATTCGGGAGTTTTCTCACTAGTCAGGGCGAATTGTGAACTTCCCCTCATCCTTAAGTCTAAGGATATTTCTAAAGACATGAAGTTAAGTTTGATCAAGTGTAAAATTGTGTATTTATAATTATAGTTGCTCATCCAAGAACCGTTGCTCTAGGATGCCGGACACACACACACAAGAGTAAATACTCCGCAGAAACCAGGTAAGTCACCACCACCTATACATGATAGTTCTAAATATGAATATGATATATGTGCATGGGTACTTGAAATCGGATGGTATGAAACATGTGAATTCCAAGTTATGTGCACCGATTGACATGTGGTGTTAATTGTGAAGTTATGGAATATTGTGAATGTGATGTATGTGCATGAATACTTGAAATTGTATGATATGAGATATGTGAATTTCAAGTTCTATGTTTGATTTGGGGTTGAGCTCATATGAAACCAACAATGAAAGGAAGTTATGATGATGAAAGTAATGAAAGATAAGTAATGTTACAAGGTACCCGTGCCCCCAAGTAACTACCCGAGCTGAGCGTAGCGGGATCTCCTTCCGCGGGGAGTCCTGGGGTTGCTTCTGATGGCTGAGGGCTAGCTACCCGAGGTCATTAGCGAGGGGCCAGGACACGAGCTACGGACCCATCAAGTCAAGAAATAAGATAAGAAGAAAGAATGATGTATAAGGAAATCTTTTGGTGTTTGTTACATGAGTGCTTATGTGTTACTATCATGTTTGCTTATAGTATATGTGTGGTGTATTCAACATGGGTATCTATTTATGATTAGCTAAGATTCCCTAAACGTTTTTAGTGGATGAAATGATGACTTACTAAGCATTATTGCTTACGAGAATTCTATTCTTTTATGTCCTCATGTATAGGTAAAAAGCGAGGTACGGAAGCCTGAGAGAATGTATGGAGCCGGTGACAAGGTTTTGGATGGGTTATGTGACACCGCTCCCGAAGGTCCTTGAAAATTTGATTTAAAATTCAAAGTTTATGTATTGGATTTCTGATTCCCAAACATTTGTTAAACGATTAATGTTTTACGTAATTAATGACCGATTATTATACTGTTCGAACTCGTATATTAGTATCGGGCTTGCGAATACTCGTTTTGGGCCCAACCTGTTAAAAATAGCAAGTATTCGAGAATGGCGTTCTGGATCCACTCGGGGGTGACCCACACGGCTAGTAGCCCAATAATATGTATGACAAATGTCAAATAAGTGATAGGATGATTAAAGAAGAATACAAATGCCTATAACCCCACCTTTGGCCTTATTGAGCTAAATAATGGGAGTAGGATTTTCCTTCTATAATATCTATCAAGTAAATTATTGGGATGAGCCTACACATATTGGAGATCAATAATGTGATTTGAGAAGTTGACTTGTTCTAAATAAATTAGGATGAGTACAAAAAGACATCTTTTGACAAAGATAAAACAATAGGACCCATTTTCCCCATTTTTGGAAGTATTGGTAGATAATTTGGATCCCAAAATGATTGGGATCAATTGGGAACCACTCCACATGATATTAGTACCTGCAAGACAAATAAAAATGGGTTAGGAGACTTACCTTGGCCGGCCATTATGGAGAAGAGCTGCACATGACTTGATAAGAATCAAAGTTTGGGGCCACCACTCTTATTTTCGCACAAATTGGTGTGCTGTTTGTCTCCTCTCATTATAGGAGCTATCCTCAACCAAATAACGTGTATGAGGTGTCCTTGGATAGCTTTTGAAGTCTATTTTTATAATTGAGTGGTCTCAGTTCGAGAGGAGAGAGTAATCATCCAAAAATCGATCTGGAACGAGCAGTGGTCTGTGAACTCGAGCTGTGAGAGTGCTGAGACTGTTTGGTTGATATCTCGAGTTTTACCAATCCAATTAAGGCGTGTGAGATACCAAAAGAAAGCTCTCAAGACGAGGAATCCGTGAAGGTCTGGTTTGCATCAATCGGAGTAGAGGAAGGCTTCCAAATCGTCCGAGCAGAACGCGACCTCGCAGGGACGGATTTACTCTTCTAAGTGAGTTTTTAATCCCAAAACCTTTCCATTCATTTTCCAAATGATATGAACGATTGGTGGAACTATTGTACACTAATAAAAGTGCATAATATGTCCCCATAAAGTTATTTTATTGATGTAAAGGTTAGATACTAATCTAGAGCAAATCTTGGAAAACTAGGAAACGAGTTAACCGGAAAACACCCGTTCTAGGGGCTGTTTTCGTATCAACGATTAAGGGTTGAACTAGCACTTGGAGGAGGCTGTTTAACACTCATATTTGAGCAAGGAATCGGTTCCAAATCCACCTTGACCAAATCTTTGACCATTGGACCAAGAAGGGAAAGTTTAAAGCTCAATTGAGGTGAGGATTGACATCTAATTGCTTACAACTTGTAGGTTAAGCATGAGATTACCTAAATGCTTAAATCATTATTTTTCATGGATTATGATGATTATGTATTGCTGAAATATTGATATAGTTGCCAAAGAATGAAATTTGAAATGATTTGAGAACGTATGGATAATATGAGATTAAATGAGTATCAATGAACTATTTTTGCGAAATAGGTATTTTGCTCATGTACGAATTATTTGGATACATAAATGAATATTTGTGTATTGAGATTGAATACTTAAGTTGCTGCTACATAATTATAATTATGTAGAGTATTACAAGTAAAGAGGATAGTGACATGATAACAATAATCTTAATAGTATTGAAATACTAGTTAGTGATTATTGGAACTTGTTGATTTAATTGATCCTAGGGATTGGATTGTATGAAAGGTACTTGAATATAGTTCAAGTGTATCTAATAACTTAGTATGGAACTAAGGTTAAGTTATGGGAAGTCTTTAAGGATGACCCATGGTAGTTTAATGATATGTCAATTCTAGGCATAGGGTTGCTTGAGAATTGGGCCTTAATGCATGGTGATGTGGTAGAGCCGAGCTCTAGAATGCATGTAAGGTGTAGACTTGTAGTCTATGTATTGTATAGCTAGAGCCGAGCTCTAGGACTTGCGTGGTGATGTGGTAGAGCCGAGCTCTAGAACGCAAGGTAAGGAAATTGACCCGAGGTATATGAATTGTATGGTGATGTGGTAGAGCCGAGCTCTAGAATACAATGTCATGTACTAGGGTTGGACTCTAGGAGTTGTCGTGGCTTATAGCCACGGGGTTGGGAATGGTGATTTCCAAATGAAAACGGGCCCACGGGCCGACTACTTGACTTTTATATAAAGTAAGTATATATTTAAACGGGGTAACTTAGGGTTACAACCATGATGTACTATCACCCTATTTGAGGGTCTTGTGTTTGAAATACTTGTTGTATATCTATTAGATGCCCGCCACACCAGTACTTTATAGCCGTATAGAGTACTGACCCCTTCGGGGGCGTCCCACCACCATTTCAGGTTGAGGCTAGAGCTTGCTTCCTGTGCTCGTTGCCCGAGTGATTTCCCCGGAGAGAAGACTTGGTTCGTGCTTCCTCCATTCTGTTTTAGAACATTAATAAACATGCTCATGGATATTTTACTTTAGAGCCTGCGTGCTCATGTTTGCCCTGTGTGGCCCTTTTGTTTTAAACAATGTTTTCCGCTGCGTATTGAATTGCTTATTATGTATGTTTATGGATGACTTATGTGTGAATGATATTCATGACGCCTTGTATAATATGAATGTGTTGGACTGCGGTTGACTATTCGTATTGTACGGCGGGTTGTTGACGTGTCCGGAGAGGTCCGGGGCGTGACAATTAAGTTGGTATCAGAGCCTTAGTCCATAAACTTCATAATGAAGTCTCAAAATTCTCTTTTTGAAAAGATTTTGAAAACCATGAGCATAGAAGTTTTGTACTTGGAGAGCTTTTGGTACTTGGGTTGCAAGGTCTCTAATTGTTAAGATGGTACCCTTAGCAATTGGTATGGCGGCGACTCAAGCCAAAATGTGTCTTAAGTACCTATCCGTCAATTGACATTTGATATGAGTTTAACGACTCTTTCCAAATTTCTTTCAGAAATGGACCGTGGTGGCAGGATTACTAGGAGAAACCCAACTGGCCGTGTACCAGTGGAGACTGGACAGGGCAGTCGAAGGACCTCTAGGGCATCTAGAGGAGCTGGCCGTGGAGGCCGATCGCAGACCGTGAGTGACGGTCATGTCGACACAGAGAGTGAAACCTACTGGTCCTATGAGGACTCGACTTACCAACCGGAAACCGAGCCGGTCGAGACCCCTTATGAAGGGGATGATGACGATGTAAGTGATGAGGAGGAAAATGGCTCCTTGGCACGGATTGAGGCACTACTCCAACAGTATCACCGTGAGCGTGAAGAGAGGAGGCAACGCCGAAGACGCCGAGCGGGGCAGCCTTCGGGCATGGCTTCAAGAGGAGGAAGTCATGGTGCATCTAGAGTCCATGTGGAACCACATGGAGGCCAAAATGATGGAGGTCCAACCATAAGGATCTCCAAATTTATCAAAGAAGCAAGGGACTTGGGGTGCAAACCCTTTGATGGGGCAGGGGACATTTCAGTTGCAGCACAATGGATCAAGAGGCTAAATGAAGCAGCCCTTGACATGCAAATCGCGCCGAATCTCAAACTGAGAATTGCGGTAAGATTGCTCGAGGGGATAGCATCCAAGTGGTGGGATGGAACCAAGAGCAAGTACGGTGAGACCGTCGTTTGGGAGGACTTCCAACGGGAGTTCTTTGCCCAATATTATTCTGATTTTGAAGTAAACAAGAAGGTGAGGGAATACACCCTCCTAACCCAAGGGGGTAACATGACAGTGAAGGAACTTGAGTACAAGTTCCGGGATCTCGCCGACTACATACCGGAGTATGCTTGTGACGAGAACCGAATGGTAAACCACTTTTGGGATGCTCTTGACTTGGAGATACGTGATAGGGCAACACAATTGCCTAATATGACTTTCGCCCAAGTGGTTGACCAAGCGTTGAAAGGAGAGAAACAATGGGAAGAAAGGAAGAAGAAAGACGCCGAAGAGGCGAAAAAGAGAAAGTGGGAGAGTCATGGCTCTCAAGGTTCCAACAAGAAGGGGAATCATGGGGGAGGACCTTTCCGAGCACCACCGCCACCATCTAGGGGGAACCAAGGCCCGAGTGGGCAAGGCTCGAGGTCACAAGCCTCAGTGGTAACTCGTTGCAACAATTGCAAGAAACACCACTCCGGTAAATGTCGTGACCCCCCTAGATGTTTCCAATGTGGGGATGCCGGGCACTTGAAGGCGCATTGCCCCCAGTTGGGTGGGGCAAGGACATCAGGACCAAGTAGCGGGGCTGCGGGAAGTGGAAACCAAGCCGGGGGCTCCCAAGTAACCAGGGGGCAAGGGGGAGCAAGCGCGAGTAACGCGCCGTCCGTGAATCAAGGAAGGACGCAAGCTAGAGTCTACGCAATGACCGAGGCCGATGCTCGGGCTAATCCCGACTCCATCGCTGGTAATACATTTATTTTGGGCACTTTTAGGCTTACTTAGATCATGTACGTCGTTGGGATTGAGTGCGGGCCACCCCGGGGCCAAACCGGGCGAGTTAGGCCAAATCGGGCTGGAAACAGCCACTGCCGGCCAGGCACGCCTGCAGGCACGCCGTGCGTGGCACCGTGCCTGGGAGGCAGTGGCCTCGCTAAGGAGTTCCGGCCAGGCACGGCTGCAGGCACGCCGTGCGTGGCACCGTGCCTGGGAGGCAGTGGCCTCCTCGAGGAAATTCGGCCAGGCACGGTCGCAGGCACGCCGTGCGTGGCACCGTGCCTGGGAGGCAGTAGCGCCCAGAGCTTCTTCCCAAGCCAGGCACGATCGTGCCTGGCACCCAGATGGCCGAGGATAGATTTTTCGCACCGTTTTGCGACGTTAAGACCCGTTCTTGATCCCAAACACATGTGTGAACATAATAAACCTCTCTAAATGTGTAAGAATGGTAGGAAAGGTATCTTACATGACTTATAAATGTAGGAACGCTAAAGATTAATGGGAAGGATGCGCGAATCCTTATCGATACCGGGGCGCAACGTTCATTTGTGAATGAAGCGTTCGCCAAGAGGTTGGGAGTGCAATCCGCACCATTGATGCAAACCTTAGTGGTGTCAACACCACTAGGGGATGACGTGGAAAGAACTTGTTACTATCCATCTTGTGGGGTGGAGGTTAATGGTCAAACCTTGACGTGTGACTTCGTACCGCTGAGCATGATGGAATTCGATGCAATCCTAGGGATGGATTGGCTAGAAAGGAACCATGCTAGGGTAGATTGCTACACGAAGGTTCTTGAACTCGAAGGCAATGATGGGGAGACCCTACGCTTCGAGGGCGATCGAGGGAGATCAAATAGCTGCATCATATCCGCCGTGAGAGCGAGAAGTATGATGAGAAAGGGATGCCACGCATATCTAGCATACGTGGTTGACAAAACCAAAGAAGAAACGAACATCGATGATGTGAGGGTGGTTTGTAAGTATCCGGATGTCTTCCCTAAAGACTTACCGGGGCTTCCACCTGATAGGGAGATTGAATTTGTGATCGAGGTTGAGCCCGACACCAAACCAATCTCCATACCGCCATACCGTATGGCACCCGCTGAACTTAACGAGTTGAAAACCCAATTGCAAGAGCTTTTGGATAATGGTTTCATTAGACCCAGCCACTCCCCGTGGGGAGCACCAGTTCTTTTTGTGAAAAAGAAAGATGGGACACTCCGAATGTGCATTGACTATCGTCAACTGAACAAGGTCACAATCAAGAATAGGTATCCGTTGCCTAGGATTGATGACTTGTTTGATCAACTACGAGGAGCAACCGTGTTTTCGAAGATTGACTTGAGATCGGGGTACCATCAATTGAAGATTAAGGAAGACGACATACCAAAGAGTGCTTTCCGCACAAGGTATGGGCATTTTGAGTTCCTTGTTATGTCGTTTGGGTTAACAAACGCCCCAGCGGCATTCATGGACTTGATGAACCGAGTATTCCATAAATACTTGGATCGATTCGTGATTGTGTTCATTGATGACATCTTGATTTACTCAAAGAGTGAAGAAGAGCACGAAGAGCACTTGATACTTGTTCTTGAGACACTACGGGAGAAGCAACTCTATGCCAAATTTTCTAAATGTGAATTTTGGCTAAAGGAGATTGGCTTCCTCGGACACGTGGTTTCAGGATCGGGAATTGCTGTTGATAACAAGAAGATAGAAGCCATTACTGAATGGGAGAGGCCAAAGAACGTCAAGGAAATTCGTAGTTTCCTTGGATTGGCAGGCTACTACAGAAAGTTCGTGGAGAAGTTCTCTGTTTTGGCATCGCCATTGACGAAACTCACTCGAAAAGGAGCTAAGTTTGTATGGGATGACAAATGTGAGAAAGGGTTCATGGAACTAAAGAAGAGATTGACTGAGGCACCGGTACTTGCATTACCCAAACAAGGTGTGGGGTACGATGTCTATAGCGATGCGAGCATCCAAGGGCTTGGATGTGTACTGATGCAGAACGGGAGGGTAATCGCCTATGCTTCACGACAATTGAAGAAGCATGAGGTGAATTATCCTACTCATGATTTGGAGCTGGGGGCAGTGGTGTTTGCACTGAAAATATGGAGACATTATCTCTACGGGGAGACATGTCACATATACACTGATCACAAGAGCTTGAAGTACGTGTTTACTCAGAAAGAGTTAAACATGAGACAGAGACGGTGGATGGAGCTGATAAAAGACTACCATCTAGTGATAGAGTATCACCCAGGCAAGGCGAACGTGGTGGCAGATGCTTTGAGCCGGAAGAGCTCGTCTGGGGCATTGCTAGCTAATTTGAGGGCATTAAGAGCCCAACTGGAGGTATCCAGCGATGGTGCCTTATTGGCACGATTTGAGGTGAGACCTACTTTACTTGATGAGATCAAGAAGGGTCAGGAAACTGACGAAGAAATTATGAAGATCCGGGAACGCATGCAAGCGGGACCGGTGGAGGACTTCAGAGAAAGAGATGACGGTCTCTTATTACTTCGTGACCGAGTGTGTGTACCGGCAGATGACGAGCTCCGAAAGTCCATCTTAGAGGAAGCTCATTCATCGGCTTATGCCATGCACCCGGGGGGCACGAAGATGTACCGTGACCTGAAGGAGAGTTACTGGTGGTCAGGTATGAAGAGAGAAATAGCCGAATATATCAGTCGATGCCTTACTTGTCAACAAGTTAAGGCAGAGCATCAGCATCCAGCAGGCTTATTGCAACCACTTTCCATTCCTGAATGGAAGTGGGAACACGTGACTATGGATTTTGTGGTAGGGTTGCCACGGACAATCAGGAACTATGATGCAGTTTGGGTTGTCGTAGATAGGCTCACAAAGAGTGCACACTTCTTGCCTATCAACACTACTTACCCACTTGAGAGGTTAGCCAAATTGTATACGGATGAGATCGTGAGGCTGCATGGGGTCCCAGTGACCATTGTATCTGACAGAGACCCACGATTCACATCACGTTTTTGGCCAAAATTTCAGGAGTCTATGGGAACGAGGTTGAAGTTCAGTACTGCTTTCCACCCACAGACGGATGGGCAGTCTGAAAGGGTCATACAGATCCTAGAAGACATGCTGAGGGCTTGTGCATTGGAGTTCCAGGGAAGTTGGGACAACCACTTAGCACTTGTGGAGTTTGCCTATAACAACAGCTATCAGGCAAGCATCGGCATGCCTCCATACGAGGCATTGTATGGGAGGAGGTGCCGTACACCATTATGCTGGGACGAGGTTGGCATGGCCAAACTCGAGGGTACTGAGTTGGTTGAGGTCACCAAATCAAAGGTGAAGTTGATTCGAGAGAGACTCAAAGCGGCTCAGGATAGACAAAAGAGTTATGCAGATAAGCGTCGAAGAACCTTAGAGTTTAAGGTTGATGATGAGGTATTCTTGAAAGTTTCTCCTTGGAAAGGGATCATTCGGTTCCAAACCCGAGGAAAACTTAACCCACGATATATAGGTCCATTTAGGATTATAGAGAGGATTGGAGCCGTTGCATATCGTCTACAGTTGACTCCTGAGTTAGAGAAGATACATAATGTGTTTCATGTATCCATGCTTAAGAAGTATGTGCATGATCCTTCTCATGTGTTGGAGAAGCCGCCCGTGGAGGTACGTGAAGATTTGAACTATGCCGTGCAACCGGTAAGAGTTATTGACAGAAAAGTGAAGAAACTGAGGAGTAAAGAAGTTCCAATGGTTAAAGTCCTTTGGAAAAGTGACCGGGTCGAAGAAGAGACTTGGGAAACAGAAGCTTTGATGAGGAAGCAGTATGCATTCCTATTTGAGTAGAGCTGTGAATTTCGGGGACGAAATTCCTGTTAAGGGGGGGTGAACTTGTGACACCGCTCCCGAAGGTCCTTGAAAATTTGATTTAAAATTCAAAGTTTATGTATTGGATTTCTGATTCCCAAACATTTGTTAAACGATTAATGTTTTACGTAATTAATGACCGATTATTATACTGTTCGAACTCGTATATTAGTATCGGGCTTGCGAATACTCATTTTGGGCCCAACCTGCTAAAAATAGCAAGTATTCGAGAATGGCGTTCTGGATCCACTCGGGGGTGACCCACACGGCTAGTAGCCCAATAATATGTATGACAAATGTCAAATAAGTGATAGGATGATTAAAGAAGAATACAAATGCCTATAACCCCACCTTTGGCCTTATTGAGCTAAATAATGGGAGTAGGATTTTCCTTCTATAATATCTATCAAGTAAATTATTGGGATGAGCCTACACATATTGGAGATCAATAATGTGATTTGAGAAGTTGACTTGTTCTAAATAAATTAGGATGAGTACAAAAAGACATCTTTTGACAAAGATAAAACAATAGGACCCATTTTCCCCATTTTTGGAAGTATTGGTAGATAATTTGGATCCCAAAATGATTGGGATCAATTGGGAACCACTCCACATGATATTAGTACCTGCAAGACAAATAAAAATGGGTTAGGAGACTTACCTTGGCCGGCCATTATGGAGAAGAGCTGCACATGACTTGATAAGAATCAAAGTTTGGGGCCACCACTCTTATTTTCGCACAAATTGGTGTGCTGTTTGTCTCCTCTCATTATAGGAGCTATCCTCAACCAAATAACGTGTATGAGGTGTCCTTGGATAGCTTTTGAAGTCTATTTTTATAATTGAGTGGTCTCAGTTCGAGAGGAGAGAGTAATCATCCAAAAATCGATCTGGAACGAGCAGTGGTCTGTGAACTCGAGCTGTGAGAGTGCTGAGACTGTTTGGTTGATATCTCGAGTTTTACCAATCCAATTAAGGCGTGTGAGATACCAAAAGAAATCTCTCAAGACGAGGAATCCGTGAAGGTCTGGTTTGCATCAATCGGAGTAGAGGAAGGCTTCCAAATCGTCCGAGCAGAACGCGACCTCGCAGGGACGGATTTACTCTTCTAAGTGAGTTTTTAATCCCAAAACCTTTCCATTCATTTTCCAAATGATATGAACGATTGGTGGAACTATTGTACACTAATAAAAGTGCATAATATGTCCCCATAAAGTTATTTTATTGATGTAAAGGTTAGATACTAATCTAGAGCAAATCTTGGAAAACTAGGAAACGAGTTAACCGGAAAACACCCGTTCTAGGGGCTGTTTTCGTATCAACGATTAAGGGTTGAACTAGCACTTGGAGGAGGCTGTTTAACACTCATATTTGAGCAAGGAATCGGTTCCAAATCCACCTTGACCAAATCTTTGACCATTGGACCAAGAAGGGAAAGTTTAAAGCTCAATTGAGGTGAGGATTGACATCTAATTGCTTACAACTTGTAGGTTAAGCATGAGATTACCTAAATGCTTAAATCATTATTTTTCATGGATTATGATGATTATGTATTGCTGAAATATTGATATAGTTGCCAAAGAATGAAATTTGAAATGATTTGAGAACGTATGGATAATATGAGATTAAATGAGTATCAATGAACTATTTTTGCGAAATAGGTATTTTGCTCATGTACGAATTATTTGGATACATAAATGAATATTTGTGTATTGAGATTGAATACTTAAGTTGCTGCTACATAATTATAATTATGTAGAGTATTACAAGTAAAGAGGATAGTGACATGATAACAATAATCTTAATAGTATTGAAATACTAGTTAGTGATTATTGGAACTTGTTGATTTAATTGATCCTAGGGATTGGATTGTATGAAAGGTACTTGAATATAGTTCAAGTGTATCTAATAACTTAGTATGGAACTAAGGTTAAGTTATGGGAAGTCTTTAAGGATGACCCATGATAGTTTAATGATATGTCAATTCTAGGCATAGGGTTGCTTGAGAATTGGGCCTTAATGCATGGTGATGTGGTAGAGCCGAGCTCTAGAATGCATGTAAGGTGTAGACTTGTAGTCTATGTATTGTATAGCTAGAGCCGAGCTCTAGGACTTGCGTGGTGATGTGGTAGAGCCGAGCTCTAGAACGCAAGGTAAGGAAATTGACCCGAGGTATATGAATTGTATGGTGATGTGGTAGAGCCGAGCTCTAGAATACAATGTCATGTACTAGGGTTGGTGATATGCACTAATTAGTAGTGCATAAGTGTATGCTTTTATGTTTGATTTGTGTGTATTGTTTATCGTTTTATTTAGTTTGTAAACATTTATGTGATTTTAGTTGTAATTGTATTTTAATCTTCATTTGTAAGTTGGAAAGTAGAGTTAGTATTTATGGTGTTGGAAAGGAAGAGTTTGAAGTGAAGAAAAAGGTGATAAGTGTGCCCAGGAGCACAAACCCGGTCGGGTTAGACCATGCACCCGGTCGGGTCTGATGTAAAATCCGAAACTGCCTGGAAAATCATCAGACCCGGTCGGGTCCCCTACTTGACCCGGTCGGGTCAGACTTGACCCGAGACACCAGGACGTGCCGAAGATCGCCAGAACGTGGAGGATATCTGATTTTGACCGGACCCGGTCGGGTAAGCACCTAACCCGGTCGGGTACCCGGCCCAAGGTGTTGAAAAACACCTATAAATAACCCCATTTTCCTTCACAAAGAATCATCCCTTCTTCCATACTCTTAAGCTCAGTTTAGAATAGTATTTCTTTTATATTTTATAGCATGTTTAGTCTCCAAATGAGGAGCTAAACTTCCATTTCTTGGTGTTGCTCTTGAAGCTTGTTGATTATTAAAGTTGTGAGTTATTTTCTTAACTTCTTCCCTTGAATATTAATTATTCTCTTAATCTATCTCTATATTAATGTTGAGGAGTGTTGCTAAGATGACAATTAGTTAACATCTCGACATTAGTTATAGTAGTATTTATTTTCTTCCTCTATATATTAATGTTGGGGAGTGTTGCTAAGATGACAATTAGATAACATCTTGACATTAGTTATAGTAGGATTATTCATATTTAATCTTCTTCCTTGAATATTAATTCTTCCCTTAACCTATCTCTATATTAATGTTGGGGAGTGTTGCTAAGATGACAATTAGTTAACATCTCGACATTAATTACTACTAGAAACGATCAACGAACCGATGGTTAATCGTTGATGGTTTCACAAGTAAGTAACTTCGGTTTATTAATGCACGGTCGTGGTTAATAAACTTAAGAGGGATTAATTTTGTTGGTTAAACCGAAACCGTTGTGTTGAGGTTATCAATCTCAATTGATTTCATCAAGGAGTTAAGAGATTAAATGCTACTATTAAGTCGGTATATGGCGGTGTTCTATACATGACTAATAGTAAGGGTTATTAATGAACGGTCGTTGTTAATAACTACCCTCGATGAATTGGATATACTCCTCGATTGAGTATTCGAGAGGGGATTAGTTATAGATATAACAATGATCGACTAAAATATATCAACAAGTGGAAAGTAGCAACGCCAAGTCCTTTTTATCTTTAAATTAAGTTGTTCATCTTTATGTTTAATTAAGTTAAATCATTCAATCCCAAAACCCCCCTTTTTATTTACTAGTTTTATAAAAAGAGAATTATTCCTTTCCCTGTGGATACGAACTCTACTACGCTATACTACGTATAAGTGTTAGTATTGAATTTATTTTGAGTGCACTCGCGACAAAGTGCACGTCAAATTTGGCGCCGTTGCCGGGGAGAGGCAATTAATTTTTCTTTTTATTTTATTTTAAGGAAAAAAAAAATTCACTTCAAGTATAAAGATTTCTATTTCTTCTGAGCTTTGTAGTATATGGTTAAATATCGTTCACTGAACGAAATCACCTACAAATCAAACCCCGAAATAGAACAAACTCTCGAGCGGTTGAAGAATAAATTCTCAAGCTCCGACTCGGGAGAATCATCCAGTGCTAGTTCTCAATCTAGCGAGACTGAAGAGCCAATTACTATGGCTCATGAAACGAGAACATTGAGGGAGCTCACGGCTCCGAATCTAGATCAACAGCCCCTATGTATCACTTTTCCAACTCTTGATACGGGGGTCACATTTGAGCTAAAATCTGGGCTCATTCATCTCCTTCCATCATTCCATGGTTTACGAGGGGAGGATCCGAACAAACACTTGTCGGAGTTCCATATTGTGTGCACAAGCATGTGCCCCAATGGTGTGTCCGAGGAGCAAATCAAACTGAGGGCCTTTCCATTCTCTCTGAAGGATACCGCAAAGGATTGACTTTTCTATCTTCCTTCGGGAAGTGTCACTACATAGCCACAAATGAAGAAGGCCTTCCTTGACAGGTATTACCCCGCTTCTATTTCATCGTCACTCAAGAAGCAAATAAGCAACATTGAACAAAAAGATGATGAATCCCTATATGAATATTGGGAGAGATTCAAGAAGCTATGTGCAAGTTGCCCCTATCACGGATACACCGAACAAGACCTCATTCTCTACTTCTATGATGGTCTTGTGGATCAAGATCGCCGCATGGTGAATGCGGCGTGTGGAGGGGGCATTGTCAACAAAACCCCTTCACAAGCGAGAGATCTCATCTCGGAGTTGGCCGAGAACTCCAGACACTATAACGGGCGGTCCTCAACTCGGAGAGTTATGGCGGCGGAATCCAACAGCGCGTTGGAAAGTCAAGTGACCGGCTTGACTTCTTTGGTTAAGGATTTCCTTTTAAAATCCAAGACCCAAGAAGTCAAGATCTGCGGTATCTGTACACAACAAGGGCATCCCACGGACTCATGCCCAACTCTTCAAGAAGACACCACAGAGCAAGTCAACGCCTTGGGTTTCCAAGGCCACCAACAAAGGAGGTATGACCCGTTCTCAAACTCTTATAATCCCGGATTGAGGGATCACCCAAACTTGAGGTATGGAAACCCTCAACAAGCCAACCCACCTTCTCAATCGAGTATGTCTACGGAAGACATGATTCGAACTCTTGCTATGAGCATGGGCACCTTGCAACAAAACGTGGTGCAATTTCAACAAGAAACAAAGTCAAGTATTCAAAATTTGGAAACTCAAGTTAGCCAAATTTCGAATGCTGTGAATCGACTTGAAGCAAGAGATTCAGGTAGGCTCCCTTCCCAAACTGAGCAAAACCCAAGGCAACAAGTCAATGCCATCATGCTAAGGAGTATCCCGGAATTACAAACAA